ACCAGTAAAAGGTGCCTGCGTTCTATCTCCCGCGTGAAGTGGCATAATAAGATGAGCAATATTGAGGTTAGACATCGGTCGAGTGCTAGATAAACAGGGGAAATCAATCGACGAAGTCGTGAAGTTACAAAGACTGAGATGGCTAGGACATGTGTTCCGCACCCCTGACTAGTCATCGCCTTCATCGACAATGGCCAATGTTGGCGGATATAGGGTCAGGCTAGAAAAAAGCTAGCGGCGGTCAAACAAAAACTTGGCTTTACCAGTCAATGAAATCTACAACAGCTAGTTTAAGCCTGTCAAGTAGGAAGGTGTAGACTTCCTGACTGACTGGTTGGGGTCCTCAGGACGGTAAAAATCAATGGTCGGAAACAATTGGTTATATGGCTCAAACTCATCGTTCTCAGTGGCTGGCGCAGATGCATCCACTCCTTGTGATTTATGATTTCCAATGAAACCATATTGTTCTTCGTTATTACTCTTCCTTTTTCTCACACCTCTGTTTACTGTCTCTATTATGCTTTTCTTGTACTTTGTTCTCTTGCTTTGTGTGGTACATGGATGGAGTGTGGCGACTTGAAGTGCCGCACATTTGTGCAAAGTTCTATGTCGAAAACAGACAGACAGAGAACCAGTACTGCAGTACTGGACAGCCAATTGTTTTGTCAGCTTAGTTTGCGACGCGACTCTTCATCGGTAAGCAACCTTCCTCCCCCCCCACACACACACACAAGGGTTCGAAACCAGGCTCCTCTGGTTACAAGGCTAGCAAGCTAGCTCGTAGACCATTTAACCACTAGGAACCGATCCAATGGCCAGCCAGTGCATGAATTCTAACTTCTGTCAATTGACGACATAACCCAACTGGTACTAACCAATGTCTTTGATGAGTAACAATCCTCACCTTCAACCTTCTGTACCCCACTCACTGGTCATGACTTCCTACTAGAACCCCAGGTAACTGCCTGAATAGGGCTAGTGGCTTGTGAACATTAGATCAATCTTCAGGTATTGGTTGGTTTGTAGGGATCTGTTTGTTTGATTGTGTGGTTGGAGGATTTCATCATGAACTGACATTAATGAGTACATAGTGATGAAGAGTCGCAAACTAGACTGACTGTCCAGTATTCCTGGGTTTTCCAGTGGTTATGTAACTGATGTCAGCTCATGATGAAATCCTGTAACCACAGGAATACTACATCTCAAATGTCTCGTTTTCATTCCTTTGCTTTCTAAATGAAATATGAGCCTTCAAGCGTTCCACCAGTTCCACTAGTGCAACAGTGTCGTTTTCTTAATGGATGAGGCTGCTACTACCCTCCAGGTTAACTAACGGTTAGCGAACAATTTTTTTTGTATTCTTTTGCATTCCTAGTGGAATAGAGGACTCCAAGCTAGAGCTCTGAAGTTTCCGTAGCAGTCGTGCTTTATTTTTTGAAGGATTGGGGATGTTAGCCTCACGTCCAACCTCCTCTATTTGTCGGGATTATAACCGACTAAGGGAAGTAAAGGTGTACGTCAGCCGGGAATCGAACCCTGAAGCACGTACATGGTCGGTCAGCACTTTATCGTTGAACCACCGACGCAAGGTTAGCCAACTAGGTGAGGTTTACGATTGCATTGACTAAAGAATCCAAGGGGGCTGACCACTTAAGTGCTTAACAAGCATTCATTCTATCCACTGAACCATAGATTTCTTGTCTGTCTGTTTTCAACATAGAACAGTGCACCCATGTGCACCAGTTCAAGTCGCCACACTCCCCCTCCATGTAGCACACAAAGCAAGAGAAGAAAGTAGAAGAAATGAATAATAGAGACAGTAAACAAAGATATGAGTCAAAATTAATAGCAATAACGAAGAACAATATAGTTTCATTGGAAAGTATAAGTCACAAGAAAGGGATGCGTCTGCACCACTGAGAAAGATTTTGAGCCATATCACTAATTGTCTCCAGTCGTTAGTGGTTTTTACCATCCTGAGGACCACAACCAGGAAGGCTACACCTTCGTAAAAAATTATATTTGTAAAATCTCAGCGATATGGAAATGAGTAATTCCAACGTTTCGTTCGGCAATCTGGTCCGAACTTCTGCAGGGAAATTAATCGAAATTAACATAACAGGTTGATATATATAAAAGGAACATCTTTAGTTTTTAAAAACCTTGTCCAATCATGATTTATAAAACAAATATTAAAAAGTATAATAAACAAAATTGTATGAGTTGTGATCAAAATTTGACCTCAGACCTACACCTTCATACGTGGCTTAAACTAACTGTTGTGCATTTCATTGACTGATGAAGCCATATTCTGGTATGACCACTACTGACTGTTTTCTAACTTGATCCGTCCTATGTTAGCTAACATTACCCATTGCCGAGGAAGGCGATGCCTAGTCGTGCATACGCAGCACATGTGCGTCGGTGACACAGCGGTTGGGACTCCTGACGACCGTGCACATGGTCCGAGGTTTGTTCCTCTACCGACGCACGCCTGATATCTATGGTCGGCCTGCAAAATTTGGGCTACCGATATCACATGCTGAAAATTCCATACCCCACCCTGGCAGTGGAGTGGGTGCATACTGTGAAGACTCCCAAAGTAGGCTGACGAAACAGCTGACCGTCCAGTACTCCAGGACTGGCTTTCTAATGATTCTCTAACTGATGTCAGCTCATGACGATGTTTCCTCCAACCAGTTATACAAAACTGTCTGTAACTAAAATTTACAACAGAAAGCACCTCATACATAGAAAGGAATGATATATATATATATATATATATATATATATATAACCATTAAATAATAACAGCACAAAATGCTTCGTATAGTTCGTATAGTTTTATGTAAAACTCAGCTACCCTGGGCAGAATTCTGCTATACCCCTTATTATGAACCACACCTATTGTGTTTGAATCAATGATACTAACCAGTTTCCCAGATTTAAGTAGGTAGAGAAGGATCCAAACCGACCGCTCACTTTTGGAGTCATGTTTCATACAGTCAAAGTTACTGATCCTCAAAAAATAAACTCATATTTGCCACACAAAAAATGCAGTTTAACCTGATACACATTTCTACGAGAAGAAGACCTACAGACACGACAGGCACTCGAGTGGAACACAACAAGAGGAGCGATAAGTTTGGCGCCTGGATAAGTGATGACTGAGTAGCGAGTCAAACGAAGACTTGCTGCTGAAGCCCTGCGTTCCACTTAAAAATTCACAAAGGGATAATAATACACATTTCCACTATCAAACTTGATATTTAAAAAAAAACAGACGGAATTGTGAAAGTGAGACTGGAAAACGCTTTACAAATGATAAGGTGTGTGCACGTCAGTGATCCAACCATAGAATACTCTCCAACCACGCTTCACACGAGGTCCGTGGTTCTATCCCTCACCATGCCAATAGTAAGCCTTGTAAGGAGAGGACGTTTGAACGGATACTGACAACATTACAGCTGTTATTGAGTCTTTAATGCCCCAAATTGGAGCCTAGTGTTCCAGGATGAACAAAAAGGAATAATAAAATAGAAGAAAAGTGTAATCAGTGATTCAGTTATGAAGCAACTCTACGTTTGATAAAATATGAACTTACTTAATTTCGAATCACTGTCATGTATTGATCAAATCGCCACAGTACGGATCATCATTGAACAAAGCTTGGAATGCCAGTCACCTCTCTACATCACTCAACTTCATCGACTTTGAAAACGCCTTCGATAGCGCAGCGTCGATTGAGAGGTGATTTGGAAACTACTTCGCTACTACGGGGTCCCATCGACAATTATACATCTCATCCAACAGTTATACGACAGTGCTGCATGCCAAGTAATTTACAACAGGAAACTTACGGAAGCCTTCGAAGTGAGGACGGGAGTGAGACAAGGCTGCCTACTATCACCAATGGTTTTCCTGATTGCAGTAGACTGGATAATGCGACAAACAACGGTGGGCAACGAGGAAACAGGTATAAAATGGACTCACACAAAAAGAGACTTGGAGGATCTGCACTTCGCCGATGACATATATATGTCTGATTTCCCACAAACTGGAAGATATGCAAGTGAAAAGCAACAAGTTGGCGATAGATGAAGCATCGAAGATACAACTTCCTTCAGGTGAACATAGATAAAACAGAGGTGATGAAGATTCCTGGCCAACACCAACAGCAACAACAGACAACAATCAGCTATCAGAAATGGGAGGAACCTGAAAGAAACAACCTCCGCCACCCACCTACCTACCTATCTGGGAAGCCTCGTTTCAACCACAGGCCGACGGAACTGACGAGGATATCAAAGAAAGAATCGGAAAAGCAAGGCAAGCTTTCATTACTCTTAAGTCTGTGTGGAAGTCAACAGCACTCACCATCAAAAATAAGATCCAGATTTTCAACTCCAATGTGAAGTCAGTCAGTGCTACTATACGGATCAGAGACTTGGCCAGTGCGTCATAAACAGCATCTCAAACAAACTTCAGACCTTCATTAACAGATGTCTTCGCTCAATACTCAAGATCAGATGGCTGGCCAGAAAAGATCAACATCAGGGATATCTGCCCATGAGCGAACCAACACAGCAGGAACCGATTGCGAAACAAATAGGCAGGAAGAAATGGAGATGGATTGGCTGGCCATACTCTGAGGAAACCATCAAGTGACATCACTAGACAAGCCATCGCTCGAGTGGAACCCGAAAGGGAAGCGGCAAGTTGGTCGTCGGTGCAAGGGTGACTTGGAGGAGGTCATGTGAGGAGGAGATGAAAGCATGTAGACAGACTTGGAGCAGGGTGAAAAAGTTGGCAGAAAACAGAAAGCAATGGAGGTGAGCAGCTGAAGCCCTATGTTCCTCTAGAAATTAAAGGATGTAATAATAATAATAATTCCTATCGACATGTAATTATTAACAACAACAACAACTTAAGCAAAAATAGTCAAAATATGTACACAAATGACAAATAACCCAAGGTAACTAACAAACTAACTAACTAACTTGTTATTGGAGCTTCTAAATCAAGCATAGTTTTTTCTGATTTTAGTATAGCTGATGTATCACTGATAATCCGCAAAATTGCTTCTTCTGTTAATCGACCTTCTGCTATTAAATGCGGTCCAATAACATCCAGTTGAGGACGTCCTTTAGAATCGAAAACTGTACTTGAAGGCATTAATTTGCTCGGAGGAGGAGGTATACCTATGGAAAAAAAGGCAAAAAGAGAAACAATAAGCGATAATTTTCAGGTAAAATACAAATATAATTCTTCGATGAAATTTTCACTTAATCAAGACAATTGACCTGTTCATCAATGAAATTAAACTCCTTGATACTCATGTGGTATGCGAGTGGGCTACTGATAAACGAATACAAGTAGTATATTGACTAACGTATTAAGAGGGACAATGATAAGTTGTGTATCAGTGAATAATTCAATGTAAAAGAAATACGAGAAGATTACAATAATGTATATCACACCCTCAACCCCCACCCACCGGCATCCTCCATTAAGCACGTTCATTTTACTAGCACCTATCATAATCTAATACATAATGGATGAGTATAAGCTTCATAAAATCAAACATTTCAACATAAGCAGATAAGACAATGTAGGATTACTCAAAACTTGAATTCAAGTTACCTAATTTATGCGAACATGTAAATTAACACCATAATAAAAGGAAGCAAACAGACATAAGGTACTTGAAATGGCATGTATTAACACTCTACATCTGATGTCAGCATTGCTTACTTCGTTAATAGATGGTTGGAGGCAGTTATCAGGATGCTTTACACCTAGGTTTTGTGCTAGTTGACACTTGTCAGAATGGTGTATCCTTAATCCTGAAAGAACTCATTTCCCCCTTTCTGAGACTTGAACCAGTGTCACCCAATGCTACAGTCAGAGACGTTACCACTGAGCTATCCGGGCTAGCGATTAACATCCTGTAGGACTGTATTGGATGCTTTGATTGGACACTAGCTAGTAACTGGTGTATTATGTCTAGTCCTTTGGTTACTGCAGACTGCATTCTATCAGTCAAGTTTACAATGTGATCCCCCATGCCACTAGGTGGCTTGCCCTCACAGTGTACTCTGAATTGTTAATATATGTGTAAAACTTGGGCACTGTGGTAGTAAGTAATTCCATATTAGTTTGTTTATTAAATGTATCACACAGTGAAATAGTATTGTATACTGGATGAAGTTTCGAACACAATTTATTGTTCATAATCATATCAATTTTTGTCACACGACTTCGAGATTTGATTTTTATAGTTTTCTCTGTCTTCTCCTATTTGTTGTATGGGCAGTAGAATTTTCCATATATCTGGGACAGGTGTTGAATCATTCCTATTACATGTATTTGCTGTTGATTCGATAAACAAAGCTTCTGTTATCGATCTCTCCCTATACCCTGTGATACTAGATTTTAAATTTTAAAATTTTAAAATCTAAATCTAAAAATTGATATGATTATGAACAATAAATTGTGTTCGAAACGTCATCCAGTATACAACACTGTTTCACTGTGTGATACATTTAATAAACAAAATAAAATAGAACCACTCTGAATTGTCTTTATTAGGTTGCTGACTGACAGAATTTTAATCTGAATGACCCTAGCTACGTACTACCTAGTGTTTAATCAAATTATCCAATACAGTCCTACAGAAGTTCAGTGGTAATGTCGCCAACTGCAGCACTGGCTGACACGGGTTCGAATCTGAGAGGGAGTATGAGTGCCTTCACGATTAAGAATACACCATTCTGACGAGTACCAATAAGTATAAAACCTAGACCGAAGGCCTGCTGACAAAAATTCAGATGGCATCGTGTTGACTACATTGCAAACCTGAATGGCTGAATTTAGTCGCCATCAAACAAAGAGCCAGTGTGCAATCAAAGTACTGCTTACTTTGATGTTCTATTACACGTTGTCGCAATTCTACACAAAGGACATATGTAGTTAGGAGTTCTAAAATCCATTTTATCTTTTTATTTAGCCGCCAATTTCCTTATCTTGCAGGAATAGAAGTAGAATGAAGTAGATGTGGTTGTTCAGATTGTTCAGGTCTTCTTCTACATAACTAGATAGCCTATCGATGTTAGAGATGATTCAGACTATTATTATATTATTATTTTATCTTTCTATAGTTTGGGTTGTAAGGATTAGTTATGTTTTACGGGTTGATCACGGATTGATATCAGTTAGAGAACCATTGAAAACCAGGGAGTACTGGACAGCTGCTGTTTCATCCTAGTTTGGGAATCATCGGCAGTACGCACCCACTGGGATTCGAACCCAGGACCTTCCGGTTACAAGGCAAGCTCGTATACCATTCAGCCACTGGGACCCGATTCAATTTAATTCCTAGAGGAATATAGGGCTTCAGCTGCTCACCTCCATTGCCTTCTGTTTTCTGCCAACTTTTTCACTCCGCTCCAAGTCTGCCCACATGCTTTCATCTCCTCCTCACATGACCTCCTCCAAGTCACCCTTGCACTGACGACCAACTCCCCGCCTCCCTTTCGGCGACATTGTATTTGTGCAACTCGTTTACCTAAAGCTAACTCAATCTTTCAAATAGATCTAACAATCAACTAATTCCATTATGTGTAAGAATAGAAATGTTTTGTACACTATTTTATAGGATAGACGACAAAGTGGGACAATATAGAAATATAAGGATAACTTTTCTATACCTGCTATTTATTGTCGAATAAAACAAATCTCATCTGACATACTTTATATAAAACTGCGCACTACTGATTGATTAGAATGAGTAGTTGAACACCACTCACATCAAACCAGTAGTGCTTTCTAGCCAGCCTCGATCGAAGCCATCTAAACACCACCGGCCAGCTACCCGTCTCGTTCACTTGAGGCCGGACTAACTAGCAGTGTACTCGATTCGATTCAGATCGTTGAGTCGGATTTCTGGCTGTTTAACTGGGCAAACTGATAAAATCATATATCAGATCCGTAATATGGGAATTATTTTCAGATTTACAATTTACACAGATCATGGAGATGAAATTTCAACACAGCTCCCTTTTGAAACCGAAATTATTCCCATCACAATATATGATTTGTTTAGTGGTAGTAGTAGTAGAGAGAGAGAGAGAGACAGGAAAATCGATAGAAACAGGAAGTCACAATATTTCAGGATTTCATCGTGAACTGACATAGGTTATAGAACCATTGGAAAACTAGACAGCTGTCTCTTCCCAGTTCGGGACTCTTCAGTAGTAGGCACCAGCCACTAGGGTTCGAACACACTATCTTCTGATTACAAGGCGAGCTAGCTCGTAGACTATTAAGTTACTGAGACCCTATCCAATGGCCATTCCATGAATTCCAACTTCTACCAATTCATGATATGGAGCGACTGGGACTAGAGACTGCCATTGGCGGCGAATATTTGTCTTCCCACCCGACCGGCTGTAAGTATTGGACATGACTTCCCACTAGAACCCAGGTAATTACCTGTCTGAATAAGATCAGTCACTAGTGAACATCAAATTGATATTCAATTGTTGGTTTGCAGGGATTTGATTGGTTTCAGGATTTCATCATGAACTGACATCGTTTAGAAGACCACTGGAAAACCTGGGAGTCGTCAGTTACACTACACTGGTAGCTCCTTATCAACAAAGCAGTATCATGCTCATTTCAAGACATCATCGAAACGCTCTTACAATGAGCTGACATGTCACAGTAGACTAATATATAATCAATCAATGGGGAATTCAAAATAGCTCCGATAGATACTCGTTTCACAGCAGGCGCCTCTTATTGCGAAGTGGCTTAGTGGATAACACTTTCGTTTCTGAAACGATGAGTAGCAGGTTCGAATCCCGTTGGAGACAACACGACTGACTTGGAATGCAGGTACATTCACCTAACGAGTCCAAAGTTGGACGAAATGCTCATCCAGGATCGTAATGCTATCCACCACAAACCAGAAAATGGATCCCAATTTGGTTACAAACCACATCAAATCATTTTAATGTCTTGTTACATTAATCGGATTCCGAGCCGATTACACCATTTATTAAAATTTGCCTTGAAAGAGATTAAGGGAATAATTTACACCATTACTTATTTCACTTGTTAGATTTTCGTTAGGAACCATACATCAGTTAGAGGTGACAGTCAAAACCAAGACAAATGTTCCCTTCTGTTTTGGGACTCTTCATCGGTACGCACCCACTTCTCCACCGGGGGTAGAACTCAAGACCCTCAGATCACGAGATCAAGATAGTTGACCATTCAGTCACTTGGATCAGAATTCCATGTCCCCTGGATTTTAAAACTGTCAACTCAGCTAACTGATAGTCATTGGATGGTCTTCTTAAAGCTACTGGTGAGACCCATTATGTCAAGGTAAAGTGGATGCCCACTGAAGACACTCAATGACAGAGTTAAAATTCACTGGTCACTGAAACTCGACCAAAGTGGTTGAATGGCCAGAGAGCTTGACTTCATAACCTGAAGGTTCCTGGTTCAAACCTTAGTAGGAAGAGGTCAAGAGTGAGTGTTGTTTAGAAGTCTGAAAGTAGAATGAAACAACTGTCCAGTGCTCCCTGTGGTCTTTTAATGACCTCTCTCTAATTGATGTCGGTTTTGTGACAAACATCTAACAATTGAAACTAATCGAAAATCTCCACAATTCCCCCCACCACCACCGCATAATCTGACTAACTTCTTTAATTCATGTCAGGGCTTAATACTGCTACACACTTATTATTATTATTATTATTATTATTATATTATTTTTCCTTCACGTTCATAGGGCCTCAAGCTAGTAGTGGCTTCAAGTTTCTGTAGCAGTGGTGTTTAGTTTTTACAGGATGAGGTTGCTAGCCGTCTAATGCCCAACCTTTACCTCTTTACCAGCTTTCTTATTTCTGGCTTAGCGAGGTAAATGAGGAGTGCGTCAGTGGCCGAGGATCGAACCCCGGACCATATGCATAGTCGGCGAGCGTCCTAACCACTGTGTGCGCCACCGACGCCTTACCACACACTACCTTACTTAACTTATACAAGCTTCTAAACATCATGGTAAGACTGAAGCGTGCATATTATATGCACGTCTCGACAACTATAAACTGATATGTTGCAAGCATTTTAATGTATTGTATTGTATTACAGTAATGAATAATCAAATAATCAAGGGGCGTCAGTTGTTATT